CTGATTCTGAAGAAGCAAGACCACAGCTCTTGAGAATTCGCTTTATCCCTTCGTGGTGTTTGGAGCAAACACGTTGTAGCTACGGAAAGCCTTCCAAAGTTGTGGAGCTTTCGGCAACTTTGGAAGATGCTACAGAACCCGGGCCGTTTTGTGATTACTTGGTGATCGAGGAATTATTCCAAGGAAGATATTGGGATTCAACTCATCCTAAATTTGTCCTCTCACAGGAGGTGAAATATTCAATGATCTAATGGAACTCAACTGTCTGGGGAAGAAACTCCTATGATTCCAGAACCTTCTTCCTGTTTGCAGATTCTCCCACAATCTCCACCTGACCGTCAAGATTCTAGTAAGAGGTACTTTACTGAGGAAGTTGCGAGTGCAACATGGAAATGGGTACTCTGGAGTTTTTTTCCCCCCAAAATGCCTTTTTTTTAAAAAAAAAAATCAAGATAGTTTTAAACACCTCCATCTTTTCTTGCAGAAATCACTGCTCTGGGGCTCAATGTGCAAACTTCAAATTCCACAGCTAGGAGACAACCGAAACAATTTGGGATTTCATTTTATCTCTCTCTTCCTTTCTGCAATGCAAGTTGCCCAATTTTCAAACTTTTGTGCAACTTTGGATGCCCCTAACTTTTATTTGGCTTTATGAGCGAGAAACCAAGGCGGCTCCTGCAAATGAAGGACAACTGCAAGACACTTCCAATCTTTCCTGGTTCCTTCCCACGACCGGCTGGACTTCAAAGGAGTGTGTGGAAGAAGCCACAAACTAAATTGAGCATGGCCTGGCGCTTGAAAGCAGGGCATGGAAAAGTTGTACACTTTGGCAAACGCAGGGCAAGGGAAGGAGCAGCGGGTTCAAACGATTTAAAGGAACAAAGAGGGATCAAAAGTGAATTGATAAAAAAGGAAAAGAGCTAGGTGAACTTTTCTAACTGAGCTGTGATCAAATTGGATCTAGGTGAGGGGTCTCCAACCTTGGCAACTTTGAAGACTTGTGGACTTCAACTCTTCAACTCCCAGAGTTCGTCAGCCAGCTTAAGTCTTACAGTTGCCAAGGTTGGAGACCCTTGATCCAGAAAGTCCTCACCAGAAGCTTCTACCCAAGAGCATCTGATCTTCTTAAAATCCTTGAAGGGCCCAGCCTGGTTCTCATTTGCTACCAGGAGTTGAAGGCCTCGAATCTGTTCCCACCAAAATCCAATCAGCTAATCCTGCATAGTACAGTTCAGCTCTAACTGAACTTGCTTTTGCACCTCTGCCAGAGATCTTTCCAAAAAAACATTTAAAAATCAAAGGTTCTCTAAAGTTCTCTCTCCAGGAGTTTTAGCACGGAGAAAGATCACCACGATGGGCCGGAGATCTTGTCCAGAGGTTCTCCACTGTCAAGGAATAATCTAAATTAAATGGCCCAGCAGAATCAAATTCCTTCTCAAGGAATTTGCTCAACCTCCCTTGTCTTTTGGAGTGAAGGAGCTCCCTTTGTGGACAAACCTCCAACGGGGTCTAGATGAGGGAACAAGTTCTTGAATCATTAGAGAATATTTTAACAGCTGGTTGGGTAAAAGTCTTCATAACCAAATAAAGAGCCCATTTCCAAAAAATTAATGAAAAGTTGTTATTGCTTTTTTCCTACCTCTTAATTCACCCTAAATGAAGAAAACTTGTCATGTCAGATAGAAAATAAATATTGGTAATTCCTAAAGTAAATCTGGTCAACAGCTAAGTAGGACTCCACAGAGCCAGCTGAATTTGATAGACAAGATAAGATACATCACATTCAAGGAAGAATTTGGCTTTTGATTGAACCACCTGAAGGGAATGAGGATTTTTCAATGTGCGCCACTTATGTCCCGCCCCAAAACATGGGAATAGAAGCATTAACTAGGACGCGGTGAATTTTGTGTTCATCCCAAGGCCCAAGCCAAAATATACTGCCAGGGTTGCTTTTTGCTATTCTAAAAACTCTTAAATTACGCTTCAGTTTATAGTCCAGCATGGTTTGGGAATCTCTAAGTAAAGGAGAAAGACACAAATCATGTCCTGAGTTTTAATAACACGGGATTAAATCACTTTCAGTTATAAAAAGCAAAGTGTGTGTCCCATTGTCTTCCAGGTAGACCAGAGGTCTCCAAACTTAGCAACTTTAAGACTTGTGGACTTCAGGTTGAAGCCCACAAGTCTTAAAGTGACCAAGTTTGGGGACCCCTGTGATAGACAAATAGACCTACAAAACTAAAGTTCAGGTCTAAATCCCATTTAATTTAATACCAATTTAATGATAGCCTGCACGTCTCTTTTCGGACATCAGGGTAGCCACGTTTGAAAGCATTTCAATGTTCTTAAGATAAAGCTCCAGAGATGAAGGAGAACAATTCTGCCAGGAAGTCTAAACATGAGGAAGGTTGAGAAGGTTGGACTTTCAAGTTAAGAGGGCCTTCTTTATCAGAACTGGGCAGAAAACTACCTTGGGTTTATCAGTGTGGTTTAACCCAATGGCTCAAAAGAACAAGGACCAAAGCATAGCCCAACATCTAAGAGGCCTTCCCCTTTTTCCATCCCAGAACCAAGGAGGATGTCATCGAACGATGGGCGAAAACTTCTCAATTAGCCAGGAAGGAACAAGCACATTCTCTGATGTTTGGAGTCACTATGGCTTAAAGCAGGGGTCTCCAACCTTGGCCGCTTTAAGACTTGTGGGCTTCAAGTCCCAGAATTCCCAGCCAGCATGTCCAAGTTTGGAGACCCCCTGCCTTAAAGGAAGTTAATTTGGGGGAAAAACCACCACATCGTTGCTTGTTTGATTTTGAGAAACAAAACAAATCAAGATAGCCGTTATCTGATCAAAGCCCCTCCCCTTTTCAGAGGTGCAAGGCATGTGCGTGGGGGGGAAAGGGGGCGTGGCATCAATCATACAATCGTGGCCACCATCTTGAATGCTTCGCGTTTCTCTGACAAGCAGAATGTCAGTCTCTTTTATTTTTGTTCACTGATGGAACGGAATGAAAGCGAGCTTTTCCAGGAAGGGAACAAACAACTCAAAAAAAGCAAAATTCCACCGAAGAGAGAAAAGAGAGGGTTGCTTTTTTTTTTTTTTTTTTGCTTTTTTAACTCCCAAGGAGAGAAAATTAGCGCGGCAATCTCATTTCACGTGATTCATCGAGACTCCTGTTCAGCAGGGCCCTTCTAAAAAGGCCAAGGGCCGTAGTTAAAATGGCTGATTTAAAAGGGAATGAGCAACTATTCTGAAGGGGGGGCGTGGTGGAGAAACCCCCCCCCCCCATGGTAAATTAGAACACTGCTGGGTGGTGGGAGTAGTGGAGTGCATGTGTTAGGTGTAGCAAAGTCTCCAAGTGCAACAGAAGGAGAGCACGCTTAGCTAAAAACAACCACGTAAAATCTGTTTCCCAACTTCGACAGCCTTCAGATCTCCCTCTTTTTAAAAATAATGTTCCAAATGTCACATTTTGGAGGGGGGTGGGGTGGGCAACGAAGGGGGAGAAACGAAATATTCCTTCGATCCTTTAAAAATAGTTCTATGAAACTCTGGTAGAAAACGAGCTTCTATGAAATTTCCTATAAAGAGGAGAGGTAAAATGACTGCTGAAAAGCACAAGACAGGACTGGCCGAAGACTGAAGGTAAAATCGGGGTTGTCCTGAGGCCGTGGTCGACCAAGTCAAAAGACGGGGAACCTTTACGGTGGGGATCCAAAATCCACCCATCTTTGATTGGTTCCCTCCTCTGAGCTCTTCAAATCCCCAGATGAAGGACGACCGCGGCAGTTGTGTAAAATGTGACGTCTTCTTTTGAAACAGATCAACGGTTCAAGTAAGAGATCAAAAACGGCTTCTTTGAATTAGATATATAGAAAGGTAAATACTTGCTTCTTAACCGCTGGGCTCGCTGACATGCGTTTTACAGAGATGTTACCGGAAGGAGCAGCAGGGGAAAAAAACAAACAAGAACACCAAGAGGGCCTCCCAAATTTGCAACACTCCACGAGGAAATCTGCCTCGGAAACTGTCTATGGGAGGAGAACTTTCTAGAAGAGTGAAAAAACGAAGAGATTACATGTGGTATGGAATCAAGAGTCGGGCCCTATTAGGGGTTCCCTTGGAATTTGTCCCAAATGATGCCAAAAATGATTTTTTTGAGGTGCGAGACCAGCTGAATTTCTGCCTTCCTCCACAGCAGCAGAATTTCGGCGCCTCCGAAGGACACTGTTGGAGCAGGCGGGCCTTACGCACGGAAGCCGCTCAAATCAACATCCGATCCAAAGAAACAAGAAAGGCGGGTAGGAATTTTCGACTGAGGAACAAATGGAAGAAGAATTTCTTTGAGACTCCGGCGACATCTCACCATCCCCCTCAAAGCTGAGGAAAAAACTACAGCGTTTTGAAAAAAAAAAGCTGCGTTCTCGAAGACCTGAAAGCTTTTTTTATGTTTTAATTAAAAAATTAAAAAGCAAGCAAGGAAAAACAAACCAACCAACTAACGAACACGTAGGCAGACGAATATTCGTTACTCTGCAAACCTCAGAGGTAGGCCTTTGGTTTTTTGCTTGTCCATGTTGAGAGAACCTCCTTGTTCGCCACCGTTTCCAGCCTGGAAGTTTCAGGAAAAAGTGCAATCAACAACCCTTGCCCTCCCACCTCCCCCAAAAAGCCTTCCCCCCCACCCCCCAAAAAAAAACAGAACCCAAGGGAATCCATACTTGAAGAGACTGATGATGGAGATTCCCCAAGCAGCTTTGTCGCAAAGGAGGACATTTAAGGACATTTAAATGCCACTAAGCTGGGAAAAAGAAAAATCGAAAAATTCAAATCGACCCATTTGTGGGTATCAATAGTCACTGCTTGTCCCGCTCCCTCCCTCCAGCCCCGGTTCTTTTTCTCACTATCCCAACTGGCTGAAATTTCTCTTTCCTTCCACCAAAACAGCTTCTATGGATCCAGGTTGCCTGGGGTCCTAAGTGACAAAAATGACCCCATCAGGCTGAGGGTTTTATTTTTATTTAAAAATAAATAAACGAACACGCGTTCCCACTGTTCACGCCGCTGCAATAATTTCGCATAAAATTGGGGGGGCGAAAATAGCAGTGACTCCCAAAATAATGAGTTCCAGGCCAAAGTTCAAGAGAGGAAGAGGAGGGGGAGGGAACCCCCTCCCCCCAACCAAGGAAAGCTGTCGATTTTAATATTGCATCAATTCTACAAATGCACACATTTCAACCAGCTGCAATTGATTGTCTTAAGAAAAAACCACACGGCCTGATCAAAATAAAAGCTGTTTTTTTTTTTTCTCCTGGGGGGAAAAAAATGTGGAAAAAAAAATGGCTTAATTTAAATCCCAAACTGTCCAATTGTCAAAAAAATAGAAATAAAAAAATAATGAAATGTCCAGATGAATAATTGGCACGGGGAAGAAAAAAAAAAAAAAGAGAGAGAGAAAAGGAACGCCATGACTTTTAAAAACCAAAAAAACTAGAAGGATGTTTTCCTGCTTGTTGATTAAAAAAAAACATCTCGGAAATCCGAAAAGTGTTTCTCTTCGTTAAAAACACCTCTAAGAAACAGAGATTTTTTTTTTTTCCCTGGATGGTAGAGAAAGCAGTCAGCACGAAAATTCTCCGAGCTCCGCAATTGCGCGAAAGGACCTTTCTCCCCCGTAAAATCCCCTGCTGCAAATTAAAACAGCGGGAAGCTGCCCGCTAAAAATTCAAATTTTTGCTTTGAAGGATGTTCTGGGTTTTGCATCTGGATTGCTTGGAATGTGTGTGAGAGGCCGGGACGCCTTCACACCGCCGACTCGCTTTCCACCTCTGGCGCAGCTGGATCTTTTCCGCGGCTGAGTTTGATCACCGTCAGTTTCTCCTCGCTCTCGCCGCTGTTTTTGGCTGCGGCAGGCGGGGCCAACTCCTTCTGCTCTTCCTTCAAACTCTCCCCAACATCTGGGTAAATCACCAAGAAGGTGGCCGTCAAGAAGCCCAGGAAAGAGCCCACGGATGCCACGACCGGGATGACCCGGACGGTGCCCACGGCATCTACCACACTTCCCAGGGCAGAAGCTACCAGGATCTGGGAGATGTAGACCTGGCACGACAAGATGGCGCAATCGATGCCGAAACCTCGCTTGGAGTTGCCAGGGCTGTGATGGATGTACTGCGAAAAAAAAAGAGCACAAAAACAAAACAAAAAATCAAGTCAAGGTGAAGGAGTTTGCACTGGCGGTGCAGAGATGGGAATGCAGTACTGAAGGCTACTTCTGCTGACTGCCGGCTGCCAGCAGTTCGATCCTCACCAGGCTCGAGACTGATTCAGCCTTCCATCCTTCCAAGGTGGGTAAAATGAGGACCCAGATTGGTGGGGGCAAGAGGCTGACCCTGTAAACCGCTTAGAGGGCTGCAAAGCACTGTGAAGCGGTATATAAGTCTAAGAAGGAATGAAGGGGTATAGTGCTAAGAAGGAAGGAAGGAAGGAAGGAAGGAAGGAAGGAAGGAAGGAAGGAAGGAAGGAAAGAAGGAAGGAAGGAAAATAACACCTGAAAGAATGGGAGGAACAAAGGAAGGTAACACCTGAAAGAATGGGAGGAAGGAAGGGGGAAGGAAGGAAGGGAGGGAGGGAAATAACACCTGAGAGAATGGGAGGAAGGAAGGGGAGAGGAAGGAAGAAAGGCAGGAAGGAAGATAACACCTGAAAGAATGGGAGGAACGAAAGAAAGAAGGGAGGGGAGAGGGAGAGGGAGGGAAGGAAGGAAGGAAGGAAGGAAGG